GGGGGGGGGGGGCGGAGCCAGTGCTGGGAGCTGGTTTAAAAGCTGGTTTCCCTCAGCACCATCGCTGTAGTGTCACCTGCTGCCACAAAGCAGCCATTGTGGCCAAAGCTGGCTGTGGGCCGAGGGTGCTTTGGCAGCAGCTCCTGTCTGCTGGGAGTCCCAGCTCCCCACTGGGACCCCTGTGGACGGGGGCTGTTGCCAGCTGGGCAGGCAACCTGGCTCAGACCCAGCTCATACCAGGTCTGGGACCAAAACCCACTGTGGCTCTGCAATTTAAAACGCAGTAGGAACTGGGGGGCAGGCTGCCGGGCTCCTACTGCCTTTTAAATTGCAGAGCTGCAGGAGGGTTTGATCTCGGAGCCAGCACTGAGCCAGGCTGCCTTCCCCTATTGTCTAATTGAGTAGTCAATAAAAATTCTATAGAGTTCTCAGTAAATTAACCTCATTTTAACATCCGTAATTTAAATTTCATACTTTGTAAAAAGAACAGATTTAAAACTTGAGGACGTGAGCACAGATTGTTTTGCTGTTGAGAGATGCAAGTTATTTCATTGGCAAAATTGTATATGGACCGTACTAGAAAATCTTGACTGCATTTGATTTAAATTTCTCAGAATTTGATTTACTTTAATACCATGTGTACGTACTTTTTTTTCTTGTTTTACCATTTTTGCTATTTCAAATAGATTATTCCAACAGTGGAGAACTTGAACCCCCAAAGTTCTTAAAGTTTAAAAGCTTGATTGGGACTAAGTTATTCCTTTAGATACTGTATTGTGCTTCAGCTCTTTGGAAGGGCACCTCTGTTGATGCTGTCCTAACAGAGACACATCCTAGCTAATATCTGCTGGGGGAAGAATCCATCTTGGGACAGTTACTATTTTCTGAGCATTCTTTGTGCTGCTGAAATGGAAGTGATGTCTGTTCTCCTGACCCTGGGTCCAGTCAATCTTCTGCCCCCTGCCTCACCCAAATATGAACCCATGGGATATAAGCAGATGTTCTGACCCTGTAAATGTGTCATCTTGGGCTGTAACAGTAGTTTTCTTCAACTTTAATGAACAGTTGATTTGAATCTTGGTGGAATCTAGAGGTACAAGGGAGTGAAATATAATGTGTTTCTCTTTAAACTGGAGAAGTCCAATAACATCTCCACAAAGATATGTTCAAATCTGTGTATGTGGTATGAATGAATTTGACCTGTCCATAACAAATATTTTTTCCTTTTAGGCGTTCACCTTTATTATGTCGGGGGAGAAGTGTATGCTGAATGCCTTAGTGACAGCAGTATTTTTGTTCAAAGTCGAAATTGCAACTACCACCATGGGTTCCATCCAACCACAGTTTGTAAAATTCCCAGTGGCTGCAGTTTGAAAATTTTCAACAATCAAGAGTTTGCTCAGCTTCTGGCTCAGTCAGTGAACCATGGCTTTGAAACTGTGTATGAGCTTACTAAGATGTGCACTATCCGTATGAGTTTTGTAAAGGTAGGTAAGAGTTCAACTGGGGCGTCTGTTGTGTAAGCAAAATAATATTTCCTTTTGAAAACCGTGGCTTTATCTGAATAGCATTATACCACGCAACTATTCTTATTACCTCAGTAGACTATTACATTAGATTCATAGAAATCTAGAAATGAAAAGGGACCTCCAGAGGTCAAGTCCAACCTCCTGCATGTGGCAGGACCAAGTAAACCTAGAAGTCTGAGACAAGTTCTTAATAAACAGGCTCTTCTGACTTCTTAAAAATCTCCAAGAATGGGGATTCCACAACTTCCCTTGGATGATTGTTCCAATGCTTAACTACCCTTATACTTGGAAATTTTTTTTATTATTATTATTTTTTAATGTCAAACCTAAATCTCCTTTCAAGGCCTTACTACTTGTCCTACTGTCTGGGGACATGGAGAAAAAATTGATCAGTCATAAATAGTCTTTAACATATTTGAAGATTAGGGAAGACCTGATAATCGGTTGTCTTTATTCAATACTAAACATTTACAGGTTTTTAACCTTTTGTCATTAGTCAGGTTTTCTGAATTTTCAGCGTTTTTGTGGCTCTTGTCTGCATTTGCCTAGTGTTTACTCTCCTTCTCCAAGTGTTAAAATATTTGTGTGTTACTTAAACATTTAGTGTTCTGCAAGCATGGAAACTTCTTCCTTCATTGTATATTTAGAAAAGTTAATGCAATAATCTTTGCTGATTACCACATATGAGTTATGAACAGAGTTGATGAACAGTGACTTAAATTAAAGTTTGGTAATTACCAACCACCTTACCGAGGCTTTTTAAAAACATATATTTCAAGCACATCATTGTATTCCATAGCAATCTCCTACTCTCCAAAGGATCAAAATCATGTTAAACCAACTTAGTAGTGGGCATTTCTTTGCTGGGACTGTCATGTAGATGATTGGCAGAAAGGGGTCTGTCTGCTGATGAGAAAAGTGAATGCTGTTCTTTTCTCAGGGACTGTAGCAATCATTGGAGGGGCAGAAATGTGGATTGGGATTAAAGGGTCAGTCACGTATTTCAAGACCTGCCAAATTAATTGCTCAGTATCCTAATATTAGGCACAAGGTGACTTCTTTGGGCATATGCATTAGGAGTTAATCTGAGGTTAATACTTTTGATCCCTATGATCCATTTACTGCCCACTAGCCTGCCCAAAAAGATAATTTACTTTGTCAAACTGCACAACAAACTTCGTTAGATTTCTTTTCAGATCATTAGTAAATCTTAGACTGACTTAGTTTTAGCTAAAAGAAAACCCATCGGTGCTCGCCCTGTTAATTTAGGAAATATCCTTCTAAGCTATGACCAATGCCATCTTTTCTCCCCGCAAAATTGTCCAGTTTGTTAAACTTCCTTTTGTGTACACTACTTTCTTCCATTGGCTGTTTTTATAAAACTACAAGAACATACTTTGGGAACCTTTATCTGTTTATCAGACCTCCCATCCTTCCTGTAAAGAAACTTTGGCCCTAGCTACATGGAATCGAGTTCCTGCCTTAATGTCGATCCATGACCTCTTGTTTTATGCCTATAAATCTGTTTGGCAGTGTTTCTTCCCATCTCATTCTCTTTTTAGTCTTAGTCTTTTTAGTCTTCAGTCTTTTACTAGAGCCTTAAGGGACAATTCTATTTTCTGTACCCTTCCAGAAGTGTAAAAAAACATAAATGTGGAAGCCTCAAAAACAATTAAATACAAACAGGATTAAGTGATAACTGTACTTCCCTCTTGTCCAAGAGAATACTATGCCCTGCATCCCTCCCATATCATGTAGAAGAGGGGGAGATTTGGAGGAATCTCCAGTAGGAATGGGGCTAACAGGGGTAATAAAATTTTGGGAGAAAAGAGCTTTATTGCATTTTAATGTTCTGCGAAATGCATTGCTATATGAATGCTATAGGACTCTCCTTTAAATCCCGTATAAACAAGCATGAAAATGAATGTCACCTCATGAAAACATTTAAAAAGCAACATCTGTTTTGGGATTCATATGGGATACATGGAGCCTTTCCTTTTTCAAGTCAGTATTTCCTGTTCAGTCCAGGACAAGATTGAGTGACAGCTGAAGAAAATATTCACTGGCTGATGCGACCTGAGATTTCTAGTGCATAGGTGTCCATTTTAAATTAATACAGCCTCAGACTTAATTTCACCATGGTGGCAGTCACACTAGAGAAAGGCAAGAACCAAAAAGACATGGGAGCTGAACTGCCTGAGTTTGCCATCTCATATTGGCAACCAGGTCAACCTTTTCCCCCCTTCCCCCCCCCCCCCAAAAAGAAAAGGACCCCTGGTTTCTCCAAAGGTGATAAAAACAGTTTGACTGGTAGTACATGTTGAGCCAAACTGTTTTTAACACCATGCATTCTGACATTCTTTTAATGAAAATAGTGCACGCTTTCTGCCACGGTATTAAAAATGGGTTTGGACCCGCATTGTCAAACTGTTTTCATGTGAGGCCAACCCCATTTTAACACTGTGTCAGAAAGTGTGCACTATTTTCATTACAGAATGCTTTTTCCTGTGGTGTTTAGAAATATTCTGGTTCCCATGTACGCTAGTAGCTGACCTGTTTTCAGTCCTAAGGTCATGGGGGGGTAGAAGTTGCTCATAGGTCATTTCCTGAACGTAGATGTAATCCAGGAGACTGATGTTCCCAAGGCAACATTGGGGCATACATACTGGAGGGAAGCATCTTCCACTTGCTTGACATTGTAATACAAGGTAAAAGTAATAACTTTTCTACGTGACTCTTGTTTGTAGGGCTGGGGAGCGGAATATCATCGCCAGGATGTAACGAGCACTCCATGCTGGATTGAAATACACCTGCATGGCCCCCTTCAGTGGCTGGATAAAGTTCTTACTCAGATGGGCTCACCTCATAATCCTATTTCCTCTGTGTCTTAAAAGATCCCAAGCTTCTACAGTTTGGAAACTATTGAGCCTTGCATGTACTTGAAGGATGTATGAGTCAGACACATGTATGAACTGGCAGTGGCTGAATAAGAGCCTTGATAATACTTGACCTCTGTGACCAACTGTTGGATTCAGGGAAAAAGTGCAAAAAAAAAAAAAAAAAAAAAAAAGCCTTTAACACACTGTTGGCATCAATCATTTCAGTTTACATTGTACCAGTTTCTTGTAAAATTGATACATGCAGATTGTTTAGCAGGATTTTGTGTAATAGTTAGGGATGACCAAGCTACTAATCTTTTTAGACAGTGTTCCCAAGGGATCTTCCTTGGCACTCTGAGGTCACTTTCCTTTTATATGCTCAACATTCATTGTTTGTGTTCTCTGGGTTTCACATCCCATATGGATGAAGTCTGCTTTCCACAGACTTTCTACAAAATAGTTTAAAACCATTTGTCTAGTAATAGTTTGTTCTCTTAAAAGAAGGAAAAAAGGGGGTGGGCAATCATGGTAATGTGTAATAATCTTTATGAAATTGTGTACTGACCATACTGCTGTAAGAATAATGTTAGGTATGCTCTTTGCTAAATGTATGTACAGTGTATTTGAAAGCTTAGAATTAAGTAGTTTAGACTAGAAGATTTAGGAATATTTGAGTGGGGGGAAAAGGGATGGGGAAATGGCAATTGACATGCAGAATATACTGTAAACGTAGCTTGTTAGTTTAAAGTGAAATTGTGTACTGACCATACTGCTGTAAGAATAATGTTAGGTATGCTCTTTGCTAAATGTATGTACAGTGTATTTGAAAGCTTAGAATTAAGTAGTTTAGACTAGAAGATTTAGGAATATTTGAGTGGGGGGAAAAGGGATGGGGAAATGGCAATTGACATGCAGAATATACTGTAAACGTAGCTTGTTAGTTTAAAGAAATGAAACTGAGGTCTGAACTTTGCTGTGCATTTCATTTATTTTTTTAATAGTGGCTTTATCTTGTTAGTTCTGATTTTTTGCCTCCTCGCTCCCCAGAACGGTTTTATGTGGCTGGTTAATTCATATAGTTGAGAAGAGGGCAAAATTTAATAATTCCTGCAGTCCAGAGATTGCAGCTTTGTATATTTCAAGACAAATTGTACAGTCTGTTCTTGAATTACTGAGCAGTTTTAGGCAGTTTACATAAAAGAAATAGGCTTTTAATTGTGTAATAGATTTTTTTTTTGCCAAATCTAGTAACTATTAAATATTTGGAGGATTTAAAAACCCTGTTTGGATCTATTTCAAACTTTTAAAAATATTTTTAATTTTTTTACTGGTTTTTGTTCTGTTTTTGTTTTCTGCTAATATTTTATATTCACTTACTCTGTAGTACTTTAAGTACTTTTATTCCAAATTAGTGAGTCATCTTTACTGGAAGTTTTAAATAAAACCATTGTTATTGCTTACTTTGATTAATCCCTGGTCTTGTCTACTTCTTACTTGTCAGCTTTATAACAAACCAGACACAAAGATTCTTTTGGAAAATACTGCATCAAAAGAAAAAAAATTGACTGCATTTTAATTTCTGATACAGTTTGGTAGCCAATACTAAGTCAATACTGGTGATGAGTGATTTTTATGGGGCAGATGGATTTCTTCATCAAGTGAGAATAGAATAGATTTGGTAGAACTGATGTGTCCTAATAACTTAATAGAGTCATTTATTTTCAGTATGGGAGATCTGCAGAGAGTTACGACTAAATTGCCAATTTTTCCACCCTTTACTACAGACATCAAACTGACTAAAATCTTGGAAGCTCAGAAATTTCCTTAAGAACAGCACTGTTGTAAAATGTATTAGTCTTGTGATCCATCTATGTTAATGACTGATTTTTGGATGAATGATGCTGTCCAAATTTTGTCCTGGCTTTAAGCCTTTTAAAAATATCCATAATGTGCACTTCAAGCTGCTGATATCGCCATAGATTCTGTCCTACTGAGTTTGCTCCATCCCCTCACAGTTCCTGACCAGAGTATGCATGTGCCATCCCCACGGAATAACTAGGCATGCTCCAGCCCCAGGAATGTGGCAGTTAGGAAGGACTTGTGCTGGAATTGCTGCTCTGGGCTCAAGTGGGACTGGGCATCAAAACTGAGAGTAAGGAGGCACCTATCTTTCCTATGCTTTCAGTGACCTAGTCCCAGACAGCAGCATGGAGAAGAAAGTACCTGATACAAAATAGAAAATCATAGAACACTAGAACCAGAAAGGATCTCGAGAGGTCATCGAGTCCAGTCTCCTGCCCTCACAGCAGGACCTAGTACCATTCTAGACGGTCCCTGATAGATGTCTGTCTAACCTGCTCTTTAATAGCTCCAGTGCTGGAGATTTCACAGCCTCCCTAGGCAATTTATTCCAGTGTTTAACCACCCTGACCGTTCGGAAGTTTTTCCTAATGTCCAACCTAAACCTCCCTTGCTTCAATTTAAGCCCATTGCTGCTTGTCCTATTATTAGAGGCCAAGGAGAACAATTTTTCTTCTCCTCCTCTTTGTAACACCCTTTTAGATGCTTGAAAACGGCTATCATGTCCCCTCTGTTTTCTCTTTTCTAAACTAAACGAGCCCTATTCTTTCAGTCTTTCCTCACAGCTCATGTTTTCTAGACCTTTAAACATTTTTGTTGCTCTTCTAAGGACTTTCTCCAATTTCTCCACATCTTTCTTGAAATGAGCCCAGAACCTGACACAATACTCCAACTGAGGCCTAATCAGTGCAGAGTAGAGTGGAAGAATGACTTCTCGTGTCTTGCTCTCACACTCCTGTAATGTATGCCAGATTAATGTTTACTCTTTTTTTGAAGCAGTGTCATACTGTTGACTCATATTTAGTTTGTGGTCCACTATGACCCCTAGAACTGTTTCTGCAGTTTTCCTTCATAGACAGTTGCTTCCCATTCTATATGGCTACGTCTACACTGGCCACAATTTCCGGAAAAGCCATGCAAATCAGGTAAGTCAGGATAGGGAAATCCGCGGGGGATTTAAATATCTCCCGTGGATTTAAATAAACATGTCTGCCGCTTTTTTCCGGCTTGGGGAAAAGCCGGGAAAAAAAGCGTCTAGTCTGGCATGATCCTCCGGAATAAAGCCCTTTTCCGGAGGATCTCTTATTCCTACTTTGAAGTAGGTCTCTAGTTTCCTTCATTTTTCTTATTTTCCTCTTTACAGATGAGCACTATATTTGCCCTTTTCCAATCTTCCGGAATATCTTCCAACTTCCATGACTTTTCATAGACGATAGCTAAAGGCTCAGATACTTCCTCTATCAGCTCCTTGAGTATTCTAGGATGCATTTCATCAGGCCCTCGTGACTTGCTTGCAGACATCTAATATTCCCAAGTAATTAACTTGTTTGTTTTTTTTATTTTAGCTTTTAAACCTACCCCATTTCCACTACCACTCACTGTTAGGAGTTCCATCACCATCAATCTTCTTGATGAAATGCGGTGACAACTCTAAAGAAACAAATTTGGAGGAGGGGGGGAGAAAAAGATTTGAGAGCGCGGGATTATTGTGGGGTGGGGGAAAAGGCAAAATAAATGCACAGCTAGTTGAAGGATGGGAGACTGATTTGTTGAGCAAGAAGAACTAGGAACCAGAATAAGGGAGCAGGGGGAGAACTCTGACAAGAATTTGAGGTAATGGGATAAACCTAGGACTAGTTGGGCAAAGAGACTGGAAAAAGGAGTTTGGGATGGAAGAGAGATTGTGACTGGGTGAGGAGCCTGGAGAAGGAGATTGGAACAAAACTGCTGTGGTCCCTTGATTCTGACATTTCCTAACTGAATGCTTTGTAACCTTTAATTCAGGTGTGTGTTTATAATATAGAACAAGAACCCACCCCCCCCAAAAAACCCAACAAATTGTTGCCTCGAGGAGACCAGTTGGATATTTTCTTTTAGCCTTCTAAGAAACCAGGCCCTACGTATAAACGATCCTAAATTAATTGTTTTTACTAGACTTTCCCATGTCGATATGCTTCTGTCATGAAACTTTAATACTGTTACAAAACCCAGGGCATGATTCTCCACTTGGGTATGCCAGTGCAATTCAACTGAGTAATTAAAGGTACACTGGTGTAAGGAGGTGGGGAAGACTCAGGTCTGCAGTTTGATCTTGGTTGTGTAGATAAGACAAAATTGTATTGTATAACAGCTAGGGCACAATCATTACACAGAGCTTCAGAAAAGTAAGGCATTGTGTAGAAGAGGCCTTTGTTTCTTTTCTTTTTTTATAGTATGAAAAAGCCTAGAAGGTAGGGTTTGCCAAGTGTCTGGTATTCTACGGACAGTCCGGTTTTTGGGCCCTCTGTTGGGTAAAAAAATCCAGAAAATACTAGACATGTGCAATGTCCGATATTTCCTGGATTTCTGGATGGGCACTGGATGGAGGCCTGGCGGGGGCAGGAGGACTGGCTGGGAGCCCTGGCTGCCTCTGATGCCTTGGGGAGGAGGAGAAACCCTGTCCCTGCTCCTGAGCGCGTGGTAGAGCCGCAGCCGGACTCACTCGCGCTTCTCCGGACCGTGCACGGGACTGACAGTGCCCTGGGATCTGCACGTGCCTGGGTCAGTCCCGCCTCCCCTTCCCCTGACCCGTCCCAACCAGCTCTGCTGCCCCTGACCTCCTCCCAGCCACCCCTGCTTTCTGCCAGCTGGTTTCCCTCCTCCCCCT